CAAGTGTTGTTGGAATCGTAGGGGCAACAATTGATTGCCGCAGTGATTTCACTCTTTCTCTGCTTTAGATTTGGGCATTGCAGATATTTAATAATGCTGATAAAATTGTTGAGATTTTTTGTGTGAAGCAATCTTGCGCTATCGAAGTGCTGCGCCTAAAAGCTGTCCGTTTTCGCTTTTTCGGAAGTTGGCAGAGGACTATAAGCCATACTAATTTTTGGAGGTGGAACTTTTCAGAGATGCCAGTGCTGAGGTATTCGATGTACTCAATAATTTCGATGAACGAATCATTGTCGAACGTGCCTCGGTTGACGAAGCGTTTTTGGACATGACAGAATTGGTAGATAAGACAATTTTGGAGTTTGGCGCAGCTCAGCTTCTGCAAAATGTGAGTTCAGGCTTTCAAGAAGTAGAGCCTCCATAAACCATACCAAAGTGCCGTTTTGGAATAGCTATATATTCAGCTTACCAGCAATTTATCAACTACTCTACCCACCACCCATGTGGCAGACGGTAATGACCGAGGCAACGAGGATGTCTACGACCGTGAAGCTAGTGTTCGAAGTTGGCTTGACAATCGGTGCGCAACGGAGATCAGTCATGTTTGTTCGCATTTCCTTTCATGATACTGGAAATTAGCACAACTATCCTTTTCCTCTTGCAACCAAGTGTTTTAGTTACGACTTGCCGTAGCCGCGGAGTTTGTGGAGCAGATGCGTGCCAGGATCCGAGAATGCACGCAGTTTTACTGTTCAGGCGGAATCGGAAATAACAAGGTTGAGCTTTCTTTTTCAAATAGCTTTCAAAAATTCTAAATTCGACTAACCGTTTCAGATGCTAGCCAAGCTCATCTGCGCTCGACATAAGCCTCGACAACAAACCATCATCCCATTTGATTTCGTGCCAGCCATCTTTAGCGAGACACGAGTTGGTGATATACGGATGCTGGGAGGGAAATTGGGTCATGCAATACAAGGATTGCTTCCAGTTGAGGTATGCTGTCTTCCTTATTCTTACGCGCTTTGAATTCGGTTTGTTTGGCCATACGTTGCCGTTGTTACTTCCGTTGATAGCAACACTGGTCGTTCTCACACCCGTTCATTGTAATCGTTCTTACATAATCATCGCTATTCCGACTTAAAGAATAGCTGGCCTAACATCTGTTCGCCTGGTACTGCGTACTCTGTCACATTGAAACAAACGCAGTCACAAGTCGGCTGGATCGGAAATGGAGAAAATGTTGCTAGTTTGATAGTTCACTTGAAGTGAATCAAAGGGTGGAAAGGGTTGCAGTGGAGACGAATGGAGGTAACGGCGACAACAGTGGTAACAGCTAACAGCAATACTGGTTAACACTAGTTACGTGGTGACAGCGATAACAGCAGCAGCAGCGGTAATGGGTG